TGCATGTCTGCATGCATGCATGCTGTATGTGTGTATGCATCTGTCTGTTTATGTATATGTGCATACTGTACATAACGTACGTATATACACACGTCAGTATTGTGTATGTGTGTATAGGAAGTTGACTGATGTTGGTTGCGTAGAGGAAGGCCTGGTAATCGTGAGTTCAGTGGTTGAATATGAAGGCTTTGGGCTTTTTACTGCTTAGCTCGACCGCTGGAGTTCGCTCTGGGAGATTTCAGAAGCACCAGAATCCTTTCTCGCAGCACCGCAACCCCGATCCTTCATAAGAACAGCAATGTGGCCCGTCATGCGCTCTTAAGAACGAGCTCTGCTTGCATGTGTACATGTATAGATGATACCTGTCACCATTCATCTACGTAACTTCCTGATAGGGCACCTTCAATACCATAAACCGCTTTAATAGTGCGACTTGCAGCGCAAAGGCAACCCTAAACCCTACACCCTAAACCCCCAACATAGAAGAGACTTCCGGCCTGCAATTCTTTTTGCCAGAAGGCTAAAGCCCGTAACCCAAAACTAAATCCCAATGAATCCTAAACGCAAAGAACTCTAAAGCCGCGAAACCCAGACGATGCTTTCGCATACTACGTTTCTACCAATTTTAACCGGTGATTAGATTAGCAGTAGGGGTTTGGGATTTAGAGTCTAATAACAAGCCTGAAAAGGCATCCTATTTTCAGGGAGTGCCACAATTCCATGAAGAGCGTTCTGCAAACCCAAGTCTCAACACTCTAAACCTATCGCCCCAATGTCCAACCCTTTCGAAAACAACACTAAACCCAAACCTAACCTGGTACTATTGGAATCCCACTAAGAGCCCTGTTCGAATCCCATAAGGAGCCCTTGAAAGAATCCTTTCAAACGAAACTGCACCCTCGGACCTGATAGCTCAGGTGGAAGCCGAAGAGGAAGGCTGTCGGCAAGCCCAACCTCGAGTTGAGTGCTTAGGGCTTTCAGGGGGTTAGGGGTCCTTAAAAAGGGATCTTTGGGGTAGGGCTTCTTGAAAGAGATCTCTAGGGCTCTAGGGCTTAGGGCTTTCAGGCGGTTTAGGGGTTCTTAAAAAGGGATCTTTGGGGGTTCCTTTTAAAGGGGGTCTGTAGGGTTCCTTGAGAGGGATCTATTGGGCTTAGGGCTTTCAGGGGTTTAGGGGTCCTTAAAAAGGGATCTTTGGGGGTTCCTTTTAAAGGGGGTCTGTAGGGTTCCTTGAGAGGGATCTATGGGGCTTAGGGCTTTCAGGGGTTTAGGGCTTCGGCTTGGGGTTTCAGGGTTTCGGGCTTCCAGGGGTTTAGGGTTTTGGCTTGGGGCCTGGGGGTTTAAGGCTTCAACATTTTTAGGGTTAAGGCTTAGGCTTCAGGGATTTAGGATTTTAGGGTTTAGGCCGACGGTGTAGGATTTTCCGGCTTCAATCTTTAAGACGAAGGGCTTAGGGTGAAGGATTTTACGGGTTTCGGCTCTGGGGCTGTCATGGTTCAGGGCTTAAGGCTCAGGCTTTTGGGTCTAAGACTTAGGGCATAGTGCTTGAATGTTCAGGGCATTCGGGCTTGAGGGTTTCGGGTTTCAGGTTTAGGGCTTCGCTTTCATGTCATTTCAGGGCTTTAGGGTTTAGGGCTTTTGGGTTTCGGGTACAGGCGTCAATTCTGGAGGTTGGGGGCGTCAAGTGTTAAATTCTCTGGTGGCCTAAAACACTCCACTGAATTCGGGCATGGGCCTCTGAAAGACTTAATCACTCAGGGCTTAAAACACTAGATTCGGATTTTGGGCATACTAGAGTATACCTTTACCTAGAAACCATCACGAATGGTATCTCTAATTTTTCCGACCCTTCAGTCTAAGCTGTATTCAGAGACTGCGCTGAAATTCTCAGCCGCATGTTTTGCCCCAAACCCCTTCCCTTCCAGAATTGGCCATGACAGTAACAGATGTTTTTAGGGTCTTCATACGACCCTTATCGCCCTGATACAGGTTTGTAAGAGCTCAGAAGAAATGGCTATTAAGGTTCTTCAGATGCCTAGAGTCTAGCAAAACGCAAGCAAGCTAGAATCCTACATTGTAAATACACAAATACAAGCGACATATTGACATATGCATATAAGATGATGCACTCACGCGAAAAAATCAAAACGACAACTCCAAATCAAATTTAAAGCAGACCCCATGAAGAAGTTTCAGACGATATGGCGCCCTATCGAATACTACGGTCCTTATTCTACTTTTACGAAACCCTCAACCTTAAACCATACGAAACCGATTAAAACCCTCTGAAGCCGTCGACGAGATACCAAAGCACAGAAATCAGCGGGGCGGCGCGCTTCGTCCTGGCTTTCTGAATCAAGTAGGGTTTCGGTTTAGGGCGCACGGGTAAGCTTAGGGTTCAGGGCTTAAAAATTTTAAAGTTCATGGTTTGGAGTTTAGGGGCGTCAAGATCACGCGCACTGCTGCTGACACGGGCGGGCACGAAACTGCTATATAGGATCCCTATTAAAAGGACCCCAAGATAAGGTACCCCCCCTAGTTTCCGGAAACTCCCATATACTGCCATCGTTGCCCTACAACCCTGCATCTGAACTCCGAAACCCTGGAGAGTGCGGCGCCCTGGCGGCGGAAGAAGGAATTCTACATACACCAGGCACACCGTGTGGGTGCGATTCCCTTTAAACGGGTCTATAAGGGCTACTATAGGGATATTATAAGAATTTCGTGTAGGGGCCTTAATAATTCGAACATGGGTGGTTCTTAAAATTATGGTCCCTTTTTGGGTCCCTAATATAATACGGCACCTAATATTCAGGATACCCAAAAAGGAACCATGATTTTGACAACTACGCACATACATTTTCATGGCGTGTAACATAGCTCATGTACCCAACATGATCCTCCCAGTTTAGAAGCCAGCTGAAAGCCAGTCCGCGCAGCAAGAGCCTAAAAGCTGCAAACAAAGGCTCAAAAAGGCGCTCAAGAGGCGGCTTTACTGCGTTTTGAATCACTGCACGCGTGCTGCGTTATGTTCTGAAACCTAAACTGAAAGATGCTAGGAATAAAAAGGGCTCCCTTTTTGGTGTTGGGTAACTGCATAAGGAACCCAGGACTACAAAAAGGGAATCAGGGTACTACTGGGCATCCTTGAACTCCAAAAAAAGAGTTCCGGCCCGGAAGTCGCCTAGAGAATCAGCGATTTGGTATGCCGAGGGCTTAGAGTCGGGGCTTTTGGTGAAACCCGAGGCCCGGCACTCCTAAACCATAAACCCTGAACCCGAAATCTTGAACTCTTAAACCCCGGACCCCGGAAACCCGACACCGGCGACACTCAAAGTGCCCCCCTGCGCCCCCGCTTTTTGATTCATTCCTCCGGGGTTGGGCTCATTTGCGCTTGCGAGGGGGGGGGCTGCTGCCCGTGAGCCTAAAAGGACGGGATCGCTTTCAGAATCGGGGCAGCCTGCAAGCAAAGGGGGTAGGCTGCGGGGTTTAGCAGTTTGGGAATTCTGCATAAAAGCTTTCCGATGAGGGTTTTACACATGTTCCGCGGGGGATTTGAGGATCAGGGTACCCAGAGACTCCAATATCCCTTAATTGGGGAATATACCTTAAATCATATTAGGGATCCTACTATAACTTAAGGTATATTCCTTAATTAAGGTATATCGGAGTCTCTGGGTAGTTGGTTTGGGCTTTGAGGAGAAGCTCGGAGGTCATCGGGCGGCAAGGGCCCCTCCTCGGGCTGGCTCGATCCACGTGTGGGACGGGCCTTTAATGCCTCGAATTACGACAGTGTCAGGGCCACCGCTCGCTACAACGAAGACGATTCAGGGATTAGGGTTAAGGGCCTAGGGTTTAGGGTTTGCAGTTAAGCTTAAGGGGTTTAGGGTTTGGGTCTTGGAGTCTAGGGCAGAACAATGCTTTCGGGTGCATTTGGGCTTCGAGTTTAGGATTGTGCGTTGGTTTTTGTGGCGGTAGTCAAGATTGGGAAGGCAAGGGACATCTTGATGCTTCTGCAAACTTCGTGGTGGCCCTGGTGTCGCGCCTGATACAGAGATACACATTGCTGCAGTGAGCAATGCTGCGGCCATCGGGGAATAGCACAAAAAACATCTGAACAGCCCCCTTCTGGCCCACAAGCCTGCCTGGTACAAAGGGAGACAGGGGAGAACCAGCTTTCATGTGCCGTGCACCAAACGCGATTATCCTTCTGTTTGTAGCATAAGGAAACAAAACCTTCCGCTCCTATGCCTGCGCCCACACCATCCCAACCTAGGTCATCACCAATGGAGGCGCCTAGTGACTACACTATCGGGCTTTTCGTGTATACATACATGGTATAGCTAGACAAGGACTTAACATGGATCGCAGCTTGAATAATTGCAGTAAGGTTTGGGGGATATTATACCATAACTAATTCTAACAAGGAACCCCAAGATAGCATCGGTAATGATTTAGGCCCCCATACTACTAATTGCTCAGATCCAGAACCTGCGGGGTATCCAATCTCCTCCAGCTCCCTCTGTGCTGCGGCAGGCAGAAAAAAAGTTTTCGAGCTCCCCACATCGGGTTCCGAAGACGAGGATCTAGAGTTCGGGGTTCAGGTATGGGCTGTAGGGACTATGGGTCGGTGGAGGGTGGGGTTCAGGGATCAGGTGTGGGCTTTAGAGGGGATTTAGGGTGTGGGGGTCTAAACGTGGGGTTGTGTCCAGGGATTGCTGGTTTCAGAGGCAAGGGCTCACCACGAAAGCTGAGTGGCTGTTGCTTTGAAAGCCTAGGGTTTAGGGTTTAGGGTAGCCGGACTCTCAGAGGCTTCTTGCCCGAAACCCTGAACCGTACTGGGGCTTCAGGGTTAAGTTTAGGGTGTCTGTAGCCTCTTCAGGGCGATGACTGTGGTGAAGAACCGCGAAAGATGGAGGCCCCAAGCATTCATCCACAGCGTGCTTGAGCACATAATTCCGTGCATTACAGGTTTAATGAATGAACTAACTTCGTCGGAGTGTTCACCTCATGGCCGTCGTAACCGGCATAGGCATGTGAGCACTCGGCACCTGGTCGGAACTTTGACCGTTTCACTGATACCCTTATATAGTATCCTAAATAGTAGCCTTATTAAGGACCCAACACAGGTACCCCTGATTTTCGGAAACTACGTTGGTTTGCAGTCAAGCACGGGAAGTCACAGGACTAACCGTAGCAGGAGTGGCAGCAGCGGTGGAAGTAGTAGCAGTAGCAGTAGCAGTAGCAGTAGCAGTAGTAGTAGTAGTAGTAGTAGTAGTAGTAGTAGTAGTAGTAGTAGTAGTAGTAGTAGTAGTAGTAGTAGTAGTAGTAGTAGTAGTAGTAGTAGTAGTAACCGGAAGCAGTAGCAGAAGTAGTAGCAGTAGCAGCAGCAGAATAACTACCTACTGTATTTCGGGCGGGCCTGCACGTAGCCCGCGGAGTAGCCGGCAGAGTACCAGGCAGGGCTCGTGGCCGTCGGGATATGCTGCACCGTCCTGGCCCCACGAGGGTTTATGGAAAATGAACCACAGTTTCCGTTTCAGTGAAAGCTGGCCAGTGTATTTTCGAGCTAAAGGCTCAGGGCTTCAATTCTAAGGTTTGGCGCTCTCGGTTCATGATCTCACGGTTCCTGACCTCACCACTGCAAGGTATGTAAACCCTGACGAAGCCCGGGCATCTCAACCCATAGCCCCAACACGAGAACCTGAAACCCTCCACCCTGACAACCCCTTGCTGAATTTCGGCTCTATACACTTTAAAGCCTCCGCACAGTTCCCGAAAAGCCTTTGAACAAACAACAAAGGCCGATGAAGACCCTCATGGTATACTCCATCACATGCTTTGAGGTATATCTTGGGTACCTCCCCCAACCTGTAACAGTCTGTATTAGGGGTCATACTAAGGGCTGTCTACAAACATATAGCAAGAACGCACCAACTTGTTGCAGGGCGAGGGCAATATCCAAGGTATATCCAGAAATGAAGGGGCGCCGGGCTCTCCGGGAAAGGGTCGCAGCTGTTCTAGGGCCTTTATCGGGTTTGAAAAGCGTTTGATGGTGGTGCTGCTTTAGGGTTTGGGGTTTACAGTTTAGGGTGGATTCGGGTTCCCCATGCTGGTTGCATTATAAGGATCCCCAAAATAAGGTACCCCCTATTTTCGGAAACTCCCATAAGAAGACGAGAAGACGTTGGTCCAAGATCGGGTGTTCAGGATTTCGGGTACAGCCAGTGTCTGGGTCATAGCAGCAACGACTCTTCTTCGCGCTATACTCAATTCGACCCTCGCCACCAAAGCTCTGAATCTAACCAGCATGTTCCCACGCGTTACACATGGAACCTTGTACCCTAAACCCTACCTGGAACCCTACCTGGAACTCTGAACCCTGAGCCCGAAACACTTGACTTTAATTCTGCTGCCAAACCTTGAGAGAGGCTGCTGCGCAGGCGTGCGGTACTGCACCTTCATTGGCTCTGAGTTGAAGAGGTGGTCGGGTTCAGCTAGTGTACGCACACATGGACCATCCCTCTACTCATCGGTCACTCCATATGTGTATTGATATCATACGCGCCATTATCCTTCCCCCTATGTGTGTATCCACATCATACTTGAATATATGCGCATGACAATGATGGCTTGACGGAATATGCAGACCACATCGATATGCGTGGGGTATATGGAGCTGTATGTATAGACTGTGCAATGTAGTGCATACTGCGCGTGCCGCGCATGTAGAACACCTACAGTATTCATTTCCGAGCCAGAGCCAAGTGAACCCTGAATTCTAAACCCTGAACCCTAAACCCTAAACCCTAAACCCTAAACCCTAAACCCGGAACCCTAAACTAAAACCCCAAAACCCTAAACAAACCCAGGCCCCCGGAAACCTGCGGGGTGAGCTGCGGGGACACCACCGCGCCGGGCACACCTTTCGGGGCGTCTTACCTTCGGTTGGTAGGGAATGGAGGAATGGGGTACAATCATAACTACGATTACTACCATATTACTACCATATTACTACCATATTACTATCATATTACTACCATATTACTATCATATTACTACCATTCTTCCATTCCCTACTAACCAAAGGTAAGGCTTCTTTCGAGACTGAAGGGCTGCTGACGGGTTTAGGGCTTTTATTTTGTTTTGAGTGCCTTAAGGGTTTAGGGCTTAGGGTTTAGAGCTTTTTGAGCTTATAGGGGGTTCTGGGGGTTTAAAGGAGGGTGTGCGAGGTTTTGAAAGGGGGATATTATGGGGGTTTACAAGTGGTTTAGACTCTTTTGTAGGGGTTTACAGGGTTCTTCTGGGTTTCATAGAAACCCCTAAACCCTAAACCCTAAACCCTAAACCCCAAAACCCTACACCCTAAAACCCTAAACCCTAAACCCTAAACCCCAAAACCCTACACCCTAAAACCCTAAACCCTAAACCCTAAACCCCAAAACCCTACACCCTAAAACCCTAAACCCCAAAACCCTACACCCTAAAACCCTAAACCCTAAACCCTAAACCCCAAAACCCTACACCCTAAAACCCTAAACCCCTAAACCCCAAAACCCTACACCCTAAAACCCTAAACCCCTAAACCCCAAAACCCTACACCCTAAAACCCTAAACCCCTAAACCCCAAAACCCTAAAACCCTAAACCCTAAACCCCAAAACCCTACACCCTAAAAAACCCTAAACCCCAAAACCCTACACCCACCCTAACCCTAAACCCTAAACCCCAAAACCCTACACCCTAAAACCCTAAACCCCAAAACCCTACACCCTAAAACCCTAAACCCTAAACCCTAAACCCCAAAACCCTACACCCTAAAACCCTAAACCCCTAAACCCCAAAACCCTACACCCTAAAACCCTAAACCCCTAAACCCCAAAACCCTACACCCTAAAACCCTAAACCCCTAAACCCCAAAACCCTACACCCTACCCTAAACCCTAAACCCAACCCTACCCCTAAACCCTACCCTACACCCAAACCCTAAACCCAAAACCCTACACCCTAAACCTAAACCCCAAAACCCTACACCCTACACCCTAAAACCCTAAAAACCCTAAACCCCAAAACCCACACCCTAAAACCCTAAACCCCTAAACCCCAACCCTACACCCTAAACCCTAAACCCCTAAACCCCAAAACCCTACACCCTAAAACCCCTAACCCCTAAACCCCTAAAAACCCCAAAACCCTAACCCTAAACCCAAAACCCTACCAAAACCCTACACCCTAAAACCCTAAACCCCAAAACCCTACACCCTAAAACCCTACACCCCAAAACCCTACACCCTAAACCCTAAACCCCAAAACCCTACACCCTAAAACCCTAAACCCCTAAACCCCAAAACCCTACACCCTAAAACCCTAAACCCCTAAACCCCAAAACCCTACACCCTAAAACCCTAAACCCCAAAACCCTACACCCTAAAACCCTAAACCCCAAAACCCTACACCCTAAAACCCTACACCCCAAAACCCTACACCCTAAACCCTAAACCCCAAAACCCTACACCCTAAAACCCTAAACCCTAAATACGTGTAGGACCCCAAGACCGAAACCTCGAACTCGAAACCGAAGGGGCTCGAGGCTCGAGGGTCGCAAAACTGGATTCGTTAGGATTTTGGGTTTAGGGTTTAGGGTTTAGGGTTTAGGGTTTAGGGTTTAGGGTTTAGGGTTTAGGGTTTAGGGGTTTAGGGTTTAGGGTTTAGGGAGTGTAGGTCTACAGTTCGAGGTTTGAGACCAGAGGACTTTAGGACCAGATTGGGCTATGGCTGCTGCCGATTGGATTCTGAGCGCGTTGATGGACGAGGTGAACAAGGTCGTGGTGCCTACAGATAGGCCACAAGCATTGGGGGAAAGCATTCGCCACTACACCCTGAAATCTGGTGTGCTTGAGGTTGAAACCCTTCCCATAACAAGTTGTGTTTCGATTATTTGCTGCCCTGGTCGCACTGGATCAAAGGATGCTCCCCCCACCCCCTGATGCTGATGATGCTTCCTGCTTTCTTTGCCACCTTGAGGGCGCTCTTTGCTCGTGGTTCTTTCGACTGTTTGCTGCTTTGTGGCCACCCGGACCGATCATGCTCATGCTGCTGCGGATTGTTTGCTTTGCTTTGCGTGGGGCTTCGGATTCTTTGCTGCATGGCCCCCTCTCACCCAAGACAATGATGCTTGCGATGTTTCTCCGGCTTTGCTACTACGTAGGGGTGCCCACCCAATGATGCTGATAATTCTGCGATCGAGTGCTTGCTTGCCGCCCCCCAATGCAATGATGCTCCTGAGGCTTCTGATTGCTTGCTCACTCGCCGCCTCGCAAACCCATCATGCTTCCAATTGCTTGCTTGCTTCTTGCTTGCTTGCTTGATGGCTTGCTTGTTGCCCCCGAAACCAATAATACTCATGATGCTTCCGATTGCTTGCTAAACCAATGATGCTCATGATGCTTTCGGTCGCTTACTTTACCTGTTGCCCCCGAATCCAATGATGCTCATGATGCTTCCGGTCGCTTGCTTTGCTTGCCGCCCCCCAATCCAATGATGCTGGTGATGCTTCCGGTGGCTTGCCTTGCTTGCCGCCCCCCAGGCCAATGATGCTCATGATTCTCATGATGCTTGCAGTTGCTTGCCTTGCTTGCCACGCCCCAAATCCAATGATGCTCATGATGCTTCCGCTCGCTCGCATTGCTTGCCGCCCCCAATCCAATGATGCTGATGATGCTTCCGGTGGCTTGCCTTGCTTGCCGCCCCCCAAACCAATGATGCTCGTGATGCTTCCGGTCGCTTGCTTTGCCTTGCTGCCCCCAATCCAATGATGCTCATGATGCTCCGGTCGCTTGCTTTGCTTGTCGCCCCCGAATCCAATGATCCTCATGATGCTTCCAGTTGCTCGCGTTTCTTGCCGCACCCCAATCCAATGATACCCATGATGCTTCCGGTCGCTTGCCTTGCTTGCCAACCCCCAATCCAATGCTCATGATGCTTCCGATTCTTGCTGACCCCGAAAACAATGATGCTCATGATGCTTCCGCTCGCTCGCTCAGCTTGCCGCCCCCCCCAATCCAATGATGCTCATGATGCTTCCGAGTGCTTGCTTGCTTGCTTGCCTGCTTGCGTGCTTGCCACCCCCCATCCAGTCATGCTCGAGATGCTTGGTCTTGCTTGCTCGGTTGCAACCCCAAATTAAATCATGCTCATGATGCTTCCGAATGCATGCCCCCCTCGAAACCAATGATGCTCATGATACTTCCGGTCGCTCGCTTTGCTGGCCGCCCCCAAATGCTTTCGGTGGCTTGCCTTGCTTCGCCCCGGAATCCAATGATGCTCATGAGGCTTGCTTTGCTTGCCGCGGATTCTTCCGGTCGCTGGCTCGCCTGCCACCCCGCAATTCATTGCTTCCGAATTGTTTGCTTGCCGCCCCCCAATCCAAAAATGCGCATGCCACCGACATAGAACCTGAGTCAAATCCCCAACCCCGGACCCTAGATCTATATATATATATATATATATGTATATATATATATACACATATACACATACACACATATACATACATACATACATACATACACATATACATACATACACCTGTACATACATACAAGAGACCCTAAGCCCTACGCCCTTTTCCAAAGCCTTACAACCAAAGCTCTTCTGACCAGGGCCTGGCCTGGCACTGATGCACTCCAGCCAGCACTCTCCGTCCGGAGCACTTTGTGCGCTACCTGGCTGATGCCAGGTTTAAGCGAGGGTTTAGGGTTTTAAGGTTTAGGGTTGAGTGTTCAGGTCTAGAACTCACGAGGTTGGGTTTAGCAGAGTGCAACAAGCTCTAGCAGGGTTCAGTGGGGTTCAGGATTTAAGTGCAAGGTTCAGGGTTCCCACAAGGCCTGCAAGGGATCCTTCAAGGGACCGGGCCTCCGTGATCCCGATGCCTCGGGCAAAGTAAGAAAGCCGGCAGCACCGGATGCCCTGAAGCCATCGGCCACGCCTCATACTGCGGCGCCTGCTTCACAGAGACCTCTGCGCTCAGGAAGATTTTCTGGGAGTTTACCTGTATTAAGTTTTTACAGAGACGTTATCGTGTTTTGTAAGGTTTTTTACGGTCTTGTGAAGGTGTTAGAAAGCTTTTTCTGGGCTTTAACTACAGAAACTTAGGAGTCGATGGAACTATAATTACAGGGGCTAGCAGTCCAGATATTCGCACCTCCACATTGAGCAAAGCATGGTAGGCTTCAGGTATGGTCGTATGGCTCTTGACATGGCTCTAGAAACGCTGCAGTTGTAACGTTGTCGTTGTCTGTATGGTCTCATGCGATTCGTAAACCCTAAACCGTAGACATCTTCCGAACTCGGTGTAGAGATGTTTGCGGGTCAGGCCTGGGAGGGTTGGGCAGGGTTCTGGCAGGATTTCGGGAAGTGCGGGTTCCAAATGACGTTAGCGAAAGGATCCTCCTTGAAGGACCCGTATGTAAGAAACGCTAAATCCAAGCACAACAAACCCTGAACTCTAGGTCTTTGCAAGGCTCTAACACGGGGGCCTTCATAATTACAATAGGGTTTTGGGGCCCATTACAGTATAATCTATAATAGCCCCCAGAATAGTGTTGGCAGTAGTTTAGGCCCCCATTCCAAATCCTTGTAATGGCCCTTATAGTAGCCTTCATAGACCCCCTTTGCAAGGAACCCCATCATTAAACAAGCCCCGAGGGTTGTGTTGCGCAGCTTTCGGGTTTGTGGTTGTGGCTTTCAGGCACGGGCTTCCCGAAGGAGGGAAGTCCAAACTCTGAACCCCATGAAGTATGCTGATAGCATAGTATATTGAAACAACATGTTTTGTATGATTGCTACCTTGTCTTCGGTTCTGTCATACTAGTCATACTATACGATGCGCTATTTCAAACGTTGTATTTTAGTGTAGCATATGATTAACCCCTCATCGAACCCTGTTCGATGCTATTTGCAGGCTGGGCCACAACACTGAGGGATCGTTCCTTCCTTTGGAAGCTTTCTTGACAAGTTTTGAGGATTCCTGTTAGGGTTGTACGAGGGTTTAGAGTTCAGAGAGTAGGATCTCGGGCTTTAGAGGTTTAGGGGGTTTGGGCCTCCGGGGTAAACAGCCCCGGGCCCAAGACCTAACCCTAAAATCCGTAGCCTAAGCTGTAAACCGTCAGCGCTGTAGCCCAAATCTACAAACCCCAAGCCCAACCCCTCCTTTAAACCCTAGACCCTAAACCTTTAGAGCACCCCTAGAAGGCGGCCTCTACCTGCTGGAACTGCGCCGGCGCGTTCGCGCCGCGACGTCTTGGAGAGCCCAGAAGGGTTGGGAGCTCCGCCGAGTGGTGCGCCGCAGATGCCCTCGAGGAGGTTTAACGGTCAGGGACATTTAGGGTTTAGGGTTGAGGGGGTTCTTCAAGCCTCTTTGAGGTTGTGGTGCGCCCCCGTTCACTGCTCCGGTTGCACAATAGCCGTAGTAGTAACAATAGTCATTCAGGGTGGAGGTTTCGGGTTAAGGATTGCTTTCGGGGTGGGGTGTATACGGTGTACGAATGCAGGCGAGCCGGGGTGGTGCCTGCTTTTGAGATTTGGGAGCATGTCTAAAAATCTTCCGGGTTTACGGTCTAGGATTTGGCGTGCCATTTGTAGTATCCACAAAGAAAGTCCTATGACCTTTTGTGCTCTTTGAATGACACAGAAACAGTAAATTAAGAGCACCGCTGCAATCCTATCGAACCGGATTACTACCCCTAACATGCACCCTAAACCCCTAATATGGGCCTTAATAATTAGAATAGGGTTTTGGGGCCCATTATACTATAATTACAATAAGGAGCCAAAATAGTATAGGTAATTATTGGGGCCCCTATATTAAACCCCTTCTGACATCGCATCTTCCCATCTTCCCAGCAGGCGCAAGGCGCCGCCGGCTCGTCGAACGCACCGATCGTCACGAACCAATGGCGAACCCTGTGGATAACCTACAGACAACCCAGAGACTCCAATATCCCCTAATTAAAGAATATTCCTTAAATCATATTAGGGGTCCTATTATAATTTAAGGCATAGTCCCTAATTAAGGGATATTGGAGTCTCTGGGAAAGCTGTTAAAACTATCAGATCCCCAAGACTACCTGAATTCACTTTGGGACTCGATGAAAAACCCTGTGACAACCCTACTCCTCCTATGAACGTCTGTTGAAACTCAAAGGGGAATAGGAGGGACCCTTAATGGGGACCCCTACCCTGTAATGGGGCTATATAATGGGTATATAATGGCTATATACCTAGGGGTCCTTAGTAAGGGTCCCTCCTTTTACCCTTTGAGAAACCCAACGGTTCAGGGTTTAGGGTCATATTGAAAACCTTGTCCAAACACTTTGGGACCCCTAAACCCCAGACCCTGGAAAGCCCAAAAGCTCCATGAACCCTCAATCCTTAAATCCTAATCTCTAAACCCTAAACCCCAAAACCTAAATCCCTAATCCCTGAACCCTAAACCTGAAACCCGAAACCCTAAAACCTAATCCCTAAACCCTATATAATCCCTGAAACCTAAAACCTAAACCCTAAATCCCTCAACCCTAAATCCCTAAACCCTAAACCCTAATCCCTAATCCCTTAACCCTATTCCCTAATCCCTCAAACCTCAAACCTAAATTCATAAACCCTCAACCCTACCCCCCCCCGCACCTCGCACCCTGGCCAGGCGAGGACGCCTCCTTCATCACCCGGCCATCCTCGGGGCTTTCCGGTCATTTTTCTTTTAAAGTGCAATGGGCCCTTTTCTGCAAAAGGTCCAGCCGGTTTCAGGTCAGTTTTCGGGTTTGGGGTTTAGGGTTTTAGGGGTTTTAGCGGGTTTAGGGTTTTGGTGCGGGGTTTTAGGGGTTTAGGGGTTTACGGGTTTTTTAGGGGTTCAGGGTGCTTTTAAATTAGGGGTTTAAGGGGTTTTTAGGGGTTTAGGGGTTGAGGCGTAATTGGGCACGAGGGGCATATAGAGTATTAAATATTCAGGATAATACCTAAAGGATAAGGGGGCGTATAAGGAATGCTCGGAAGTACCTCCAGTAGGGACTGAAACGGCTTAGCAAGGATGGTTGGAAGTACCTCCAGAGAGGTTAGACGTAAATGTCACTGTGACTATCAGTTTGGTTGCTTTACGGTAAAAGCCCAAAAGTTGGAAACTTCATAGCCGTAATCCTACAGAGTTATGTTTAGGGAATCCCAGCACTATTTGGCCTTAATCCGGTTTCCAACTTTATGGGGTTTGCTGTCCTTCGAACCCTACTTACCAAGTCTCTAGATCAAGAAGGATCCTACCACTGAGGGCCGATATGGGAGTTTCCGAAATGGGCGACCCTAATGTAATAGTAGGATCCTTGTTATAAGGACGCCAAAATAAGGACCCCTGATTTGCGGAAACTCCCATATGACGAGGGAGCCCTAGATTCTGAAACTCCCATATGTCTGCTCCTATGGTTGCTCATTGAGTCTATGTGCCTATAACTGTATTTGTGCGTACATAGTCATAACATGCAAATATAACTCTGTGCACACCTGTACTTGCCTTTTCGTTGTTTGTACTCAATGCCTTTGATAGAAAAAACCGAAAGCCTCTTCGAAGTGCCGAAGATATGCAGCTCAATGGCGAGTAATAGAAGCAGCTGCAGCAGCAACGGAAGAAGCCTTGCTTTAGCCTGCACCTCCCTTCCCTTTTCATGTCGTGGCAAAGGGGGTAGAGAAAAAGTGTATGCCCGTTTTTACGGTTGGAGGATTCAGGATTAAGGTGTTCAGCAATTTTAGGGATTTTAGGGTGCTTTGTCACTCAGGCAAGGCTCATCCGCCACTTGGACAAAGTTGCCGTACTCGTCCTGAAGGGCTTTAGGGCTTGCGTTGCACATGGAGTTTGGGATTTTCGGTTCAGGGTTTCGGGCGTGGGGGGCTTAGGGCTTCGACTTCGAGAAGCCTTTGAAGCCTCAACCCTACCACAGGTTCACAGTTTAAGTTTTATGTTTGGGCCAAGGGCCTTAAGTCTCTGTCAGGGTTGCACCTGTAGCCATGCTACAAGTGAAACTCCATGACTGTCGGCGGTCAGAATACATGCTGAAAAACTGCACGCCTAACCTAGTAGTAGTAGTAGTAGTAGTAGTAGTAGTAGTAGTAGTAGTAGTAGTAGTAGTAGTAGTAGTAGTAGTAGTACTATTTTCCATCCCCCGGCAGAGAGCCGCTTGCCCTCCTGCATGTACGCACCCTGTAAGCGCTGCTGCCGGTGGAGCTCGTCGTCCTGAACCTCACCATGTGGGGGTTTCCTAAAATATGGGACCCTAATATCGCACCCTAAGTAGTGGGATCCTTATTTTAAGGACCCCAAAGTCAGGTACCCCTACTTTCGGAAGCTCCCAGGTCCCAATAGTTAGACAGGCTTGTGCGATGTGTTATACTGTTGGCTCCAGGGCTCAAGGGCTCAAGGCGGTAGGCTTCAGGGTTCTGAGTTCACGTGTCGGTTGGGTACTGCCCCTGTAAACTAGACCCAAGAGTAGCCTAGGAATAAAAAGGGTGCCCTTTTTGGTTTAAAGAGGCTTATAAGGGAACCTGAACCCCCAAAAAAGGGAATAAGGGCCTACTCTGGGTCCTAGTAAAGTAGCAGCCTATACTAGGGCTACTCTCAAGGGCCTTCTGGGTCAACAGGGAACTCCAAAAAGTTGGAATATGGTTTCATGGTAGGATACCCTATAGTTTACCATAGAAGGGTTAGGATAATCATATTCCAACTTTCTGGCTTCTACCTTATACCACAAATCTTATTGAACTGTCGCTGAGTATGGGCAGTATCCGAGGTCTTGGTTTTAGCCATGCCAGGGTGCGGGGTTCCAAGGAGGACATGGGCATTGCAAAATCGAGGGCTGAGCTGTTTGGGTTCAAAAGTGCTTGTCCCAACTCTGTGACGGGGGGGGGGGGTTAGGGATCTACTATTACAAAGTTTCAAACGGATGCTCTTACTACTTGTTCCTAAACCTCTAAAACCCCCATACTCCCTGCAAACCCCGTGAATTAAAGGAACCCTTGAGGGGATACCATAACAATTCAGAAACCCTCGACCTTAACCGCATACCCTAAACCTCCTCGGATAAGCTCAGGGGCATGGTCTCGACGGACGAGCTCACCTGGGCTCGGCATCCGCTTGCGGCTGTGTTGTATAAAGGCCCAACGTTTCGGGCATGGAAGTTCTGCTAAGGTAAGATAAGATAAGACAAGATGATTATTGAAATACGAAATAAGGTCAGACAGGATAAAATAACCGAATCATGAAATACAAGGTCCTAAAGCATTGGGCTGCCCTTTTGGGTCCAAAACCTGTACCACCACAACAGGACTTCCCTAGAACCCTCCATTATAACTCTAAGCCAATTTTTAAACTAGGTCGACATCATGGTAAGAGCAATACTACCGATGATGGCCACCAAAAATGATACTGATGCCACTGCATTGCCAAAAATCTGCATAGTAGCAGCTATACGAGTCCCCCTCGTGACCATGAATGATGATTGTGATAACATAGCAATGGTGATAGTACTAGTGATAGTGACTGTGATCATGATGAAGGTTTCCGTAATCGTAGGTAGTAGCAAGCTTTGATACAATATATGCTATTACTATATGCAATCATCCTCGACCTCATCTTCCTCCTCCACCTCCTCCTGATCACCATCACCATAAACATCACTGGCATTCTCTATCGTCGTCGCCAGCATCATCGCATCATCATCATCATCATCCTCATCATCATCATTCAATACCTGGGTGCTCCTCGAATGGCGCTTAAAACTGATGTTGTTGCCGATTGCGCTATAGAATATATTGAGCTAAGATCTAAAGCCACGTTCGAAGGCCCTAAAGCCCCTAAACCCCCTCAACCCCCGAAGCCCCCTAAACCCCCTCAAAACCCCCGAAGCCCCCTAAACCCCCTCAAAACCCCCGAAGCCCCCTAAACCCCCTCACCCCACAGATCCCTTATAGATCCCTTTAAAAGGAACCCTATACATCCCTTCAAGGGAAGCCTAAACCCCCTAAACCCTCAGCCGCCAGACCAGTGGCTGAGGTCCTCGTAGCCCTGTTTCGGGAGGCCGTTGCCCATGACCGAGGGGCCTCCGTGCTTGTGAGTGCCTCGGAGCGGAGGCGTTTCGGGCCTTGGCCCCGAAGTTATCGGGGATTATGATGGGGATCCATTCCTCCGTTTTTTACTGAGCACCAGACAGAAGGGTTTAGGGCTTCGGGTCTACGGCTCTAGGGTCCTAGGATGTGGGGTTTAGGGTTTCGGGTCTAGGGTTCTAGGGTTTGGGGTTCTAGGGTTTGGGTTTTAGGGTTTCGCTGTTTGGGGTTCTAGGGTTTGGGTTTTAGGGTTTCGCTGTTTGGGGTTCTAGGGTTTAGGGTTCAGGGTTTATCTTACGGCTTTTCGAGTGGTGCCGATGTAGGGCTGGGTCAAGGGAAGTTAAGGGACGTGACTAGGGTATGTGGCTTTGTGAAGTCTGACCAGGCTTCACAGAGCCCAGACCTTCCCAAATCCCCAAATCAAGGAAAATACCTTAATTCATATCATTGATCCTACTATAGTTTAAGGTATATTCCTTAGCTAAGGGCTTTTGGAAGGTCTGGGAAGAGGCAAGCGATCAAATCTGCAGGAAGCCCAAGAGATCAATCAAGGTAAACCCTCCTCTGAACACGCAATCCTGCACGTAACCGTTGCACCTTCATCGCTCCACTCGTCCATTCATATCATACTAAATCTCGCTTTCGTGCCTAGACTTTGTAAATCCTGAACCTTAGGACCAAACCCCGGTGAAACCTTTGGCCCTGAAACCCAGACTGAAAGCTTTTGTAAGACCCCTTTAAGCCCGACAAGAGCCCAACGCTCTATACCCTAAGCCATCCATCATCCCAACCCCCTTCCCCTCGCCTGTGTAGCTGGCCTTGTCATAGAAAAACCGCTCTGGGCCCTTGAGCTGCGCGACCGGGCGCCGGCCCTCGCACGGGGTTTGAGATCGGGGTGTATGCCGGGCCTGATGGCGATCTGTTTAGGGTTTAGGGTTTAGGGTTTTGTAGAAAGGCTGCTGAGGGTTCTTTGGAAAGCCTGCCAAGGGTTCTGATGGTTCTGCTTGCTAGGGATTAGATTGGGCTTTTGAAAGTTTGCGTTTACAGGTGCCTTCGTAAGGGCTTACGAGAGGCATGATTCGAGGACGAAGGCTAAGGAGCACATGGCCGCCATGGAGGATTTATTCTCCTCATGTAGACGCCTTCTAAACTCCGATTCGTTGAGGATCATGCAAAAACGATCCCTACTTGGAGGATCACCTATTAAACTACCCATCCCAAAGGGTCCTAGGTACTGTTATGGGGGTTTAGGGGGTTTAGGGCTCTAGGGTTCTAGGTACAGTTATGGGGGATACTTCCTCAAATCAAACCAGTAACTTCTAAGACCAACCTGTACCAGACCTCCAGCTGAAACGGATGGGTGTTGGGTCCCTACTTGGAGGCCCTTTTGACTTAGTAAGTAAGGGTTCCTTTAAAGGGGTCCTAAAAGGGATCTATAGGGGTTCCTTAAAGGGATCTATAGGGTTTAGGGTTTCTTACTTGGAGGCCCTTTTGACTTAGTAAGTAGGGTTAGTAAGGTGGGTTATGGGGATTATAATGGGGTTTCAAGGGGATACTAAGTAGACTTACTAAGTCAAAAGGGCCTCCAAGTATTCTTAAGCGGTACCTACTATTTAGGGTACCCAAAAAGGGACCTGAAGTTTGACAACTGCCCTCGTGTCGCCAAAAGCTTGGAGTGGTCCCAACACGAAAACAAGGTACAAACAACAGAGGTCCAGAATTGTAGATCCCAGAAATGCACGACCTAACTCACTTAGCGGCGACTAGCTCGTCCCATCTCCATGCTTTAGTGTTGCAAGACGCCAAGCCCGACACGCGAAACTCGACCAGCCTTCACAGCTTTTTCTTGGCAGCTTTTCGTCGAGCATGCCATGCTCGAAAATCGGACTTAGGTGAGAAAAGCCGTGTCCTCCGAGGCGCATGGACTCAAATCCCAGCGAGGAATCGAAAGCCCCGGCAGCACAGGATGCGGCTAGGCCGGCACAAACAGGCAGCAAAAGAGAAAAACTCCGGCACTGCAGGGTGCGGATGCACCGCCCCCCCGGCTAAGGCGGGCGAAAGAATGGAAGAGAAAAGGAATACTTGCCCCCCTCCCTGTGTTCACACTGCTTTCAATCTTCTGTGATGGGAATGACCGGGATGCTGAGATTTGAATTGAAGCGTCCCCCCATATGCAATACATGGAGCCCTCTGTTGCTGCTGAGATCCTTTGTGAAGATGGGCGACGGGCAGGTTTCGTAGGATGAAACCACCAGGCGCATGCCCTCACCGGCACGGAAGAAAGTAGCCGTGGGGCACAATGTGATCTCCTGGGCTTTTAAGAAACCATGGAGAAAAAAGTACACACTTTTATTTCCTACTGGTTCCTTTGAGAAGAACGTAAAGTACAGTACTCCAAAGCCCAGTCTCAACAGGGACAATCTCTCCACTCTTGAGTGGCTGAACTAGGCTGCCCTTCGGCTCCTTCCACCAGTCCGTCGAGATGCTTTCATCGATTTCTCGGCGTGAGACCCGCAGGTAGCCTCGACTGACCACATCATCCTGGATGCCAACAGTTCCGTTGAACCGCACCTGCTGGCCGTCACTATCGAGTTTGTCTACGACCACGCAGAGTATGATGTCATCCGGACAGGCAGGGTGTGTGGAAGATGGGCGTGCCTCGACCCATAGACGCAAGTTCATGAAACCGCTGACTTCGGTGTCCTGTGTGAAGGTGTATTCGAACTCTGCCTTGCCTTGCTGACCGTCATAGCAGAGCTCATACTCGGCTGGCGCCTCAGGGGCGAGACCCTGCTCGCTCAAGTGCAAGAACTTGTAGGCAGTCCTGGCCAAAGGCCACTCATTCTCCCACCTGGGTAAGCGTCAAAATCATGGTCATTTTAGGAAACGCTGTTTTGTCCTACTCTTAATGTGGCACCCGATAGTTTGGGAAACCATATGGGAAACCAATTTGGACAACCAGCCACCTGACATCGCGCACCTCTTCACGGCTACTCCGGATCTCAAGGCGCACAGGTGGCAAAAACTCAAAGCGGTTCGATGCACCTTTCAGAAAATGGTCCATGAAATCCTTGACAAGCTCCTGCGCAGACGGGGAGTAAAACTCAGACCACTTACCACCTCTGTGAGTGTAGAGCCACTTCTTTTTTGAGCTCACGCGACTGTACGCCCGGTGAGAGCCTCGCGTATGCAGCTCGTGATCCGAGAAGGACCCGCATACGAGCATCGGTATATCAATTCTCTCGAGCTGCACCGCCTTGTCCGCCCAATACTGATCCATCAGTGGGTGCTTGCTTATCAACTCAGGAGGTATGTCATCTTCGTTGGCAATGAACTCCGCGACGCTTTGATTCAGAGCCTCCTTTACCTCGGTATTCCACCAGAAGTTAAGAAAGCCAGTCCCGTTGACTCCTCCTGGGCACGCCACGTCACGGTACATATCCGTCAGACCTTCCCACGGCACCATACATTTCAGAGCAGAGGCTTCCTTGGAAAAGCCTTCCACGGCCGCAAAGTACTGACTGATGGCCAGGTAGCTGACACCAAGCAGACCCACCGAGCCTGTGCACCAATCCTGCCGGCCGACCCATTCGATTGCCTCGCGATAGTCACGACCCTGCTTCGTCGAAATGATTCCTTGGTTGCTGCCGAGGAAAGAAAATTGTAAGTTGTCATAATCGGGATCCACAGTACATAACAGGGTTTCCTTCCTTGTTGTTGCAACTTAATTTAAGTCCCAGATTCTGGCGGCACCACCGCAGTTGGCGTAGCCGGGCAGATTCCTAGGTGTAGATTGCGGCAGTCCCCCAAAAATAGTTCCAAATTAGGGCTCGATGGTTTAGGCAGATGAAAATCATCCCAAATCGAAACCCTAAAGGGCCTAAACCCTAAACTTAAACCCCTAAAACCCTAAAACCCTAAACCCTAAACCCTAAATCGATACCCTAAAATCTAAACCCTGAGACCCTAAACCGTAACTCGATACCCTAAACCCTAAACCCTAAACCCCAAGACCCTAAAGCTAACTCGATACCCTAAACCCTAAACCCCAAGACCTTAAACCCCAAGACCCTAAACCCGATACCCTACACCCTAAACCCCAAGACCCTAAACATTGACTCGATACCTAGATTCAGGTTCACCAGCGTGTAGCCCGCGGCCACCCAGAAGTTTGGGTCAGGAGACTCCCAGCTCGTCAATTCCTGGGCTCACGGTTTAAGGTTTAGGGTTTAGGGTTTTCTGACCGAACTTTTAGGGCTTTGGGTTTAAGATTTAGGGTTTAGGATGTAGGGGTTTGGGTTTAGGATTTAGGATTATATAAGATGTATGTAGGTTTTGGGGTTTAGGATTTAGGGTTTGGGATGTAGGGTTTTGGATTCAGGGTTTAGGGTTTAGGAACTTCTTTTAAGCTACCATAGTCAGGGATCCCTATGCTCTACTATAGATCCCGGTTCGGGCAACTTCGAAGAAGTTCCTTAACAAGAACCCAGGTTCAGAAAACGTCGGATAGGGGACGCCTTGTGGAATCAGTCTGTACTGTTGCGGCGGTCCACCCAAAGGCGTTCGATTGAGCGCTGGTGTGATGTGGTTATCATAGATGTGCGCGCACATGACCACCGGATCTGGGCCACCGGCTTGCATTCTTGCCCTGGACCGAAACACATTCGCTGTGAGTGAGTAGCCTTCTTTCATAGGAACGGCCACATCATAGTCACAGTGAACGTCCGGACCTGCCGCCTCCAACCGACACTGGGGAGAAAGAACCTGCCCACTTCGAATCGCTCTGGAGAGCATCGGCCAGGCAGCTCTGACAGTCTTCAGCAGTTCATTCACTGCAGCGCATGGGAAACACCCGCTCATGATCGTCGCGGATTCGCTGTCCCTCAACCCTTCAACCCGAGTCCCCGAAAGCATCGGCTCACAGCCCTTAACATGACCTGGATAGCAGAGCTGCTGAAGCGATTGCGGCGTATCCTCAAGCTGATGCGATGCTGTGCCATGCTTTTGCCTTTCCATGCGAGCTGGAACAAAAGGCATGAGTCTGCGAGCGGAAGAAAAAACATGCTTCCTCTCCCGGGCTCGAATGATAAACTCCAACCTTGAACTCATCAAAAGTGCGCCTTCGGCAATTCCCGGCGCTGTGCCACAGGCGATCGCGGTTTGCCAAGCAATCGCGGCATCTCCTCGGGCGAGTTCGGAAATTGAAACAAGCGGTGAGCGAAGTGCGAAAGGGGAGGTCGAGGCTTGGAAGTTATAGGATCCATGGTACTACTACGATGATGGTTATTATCATGATGCCTTGGTCTGAACAGCACTTTCCCATTCCAAAATCGCAAAGGCACTATCTGTCCAGATCTCAAAAACCCTAGCCCTCTATTTCCTCAGAGTGACCTGAAAGAAGCCCTCCGAAGGCCTCACAACAAGAAACAGGACCCCCCCAAAACCTGAGAAAGGAAGGCCCTCCAAATCACCCCTAAACCCGAAGCCCTTATAAACGGTTTGGGCCTATAGGACCCTAAACCCTACACCCTAAACTCTAAGCCCCTAAGGCCTAAATCCTAAACCCTAAACCCTTCTAAACCCTAAGCCTAAACTCTAAACTCTAAACCTCTAAACCATAAACCCCTAAACCCAAAACCCCTAAACCCCCAAACACTAAACCCGCCTTAAAGGAAAGTGCCCGGCCTCGCCGGCCTCGCCCAGCACCGCGCGGCGGCGGCGGTCCGCGGAGGCTGCGACCTAAGGCTCTGGGGTTTGGGGCTTTCCTTTAAAAGGGTACTACAAGGGTTCCTTTAAGGGAACTACAAGGGTTTGGGGTTTTAGGGTTTAGGATTTGGGGCTTAGGCTCTGGGGTTTGGGGCTTCGGGGGTTTAGGGTTCCTTTAAAAGGGTACTATAAGGGTTCTTTTAAGGAAACTATAGGGGTTTAGGATTTGGGGTTTAGGATTTAGGGTTTGGGGTTTAGGGGGTTTGGGGGTTCTTCAAAAGGGTACTATAAGGGTTCCTTTACGGAAACTATAAGGGTTTAGGATTTGGGGGGGTTAGGATTTGGGGTTTAGGGTTTTGGGTTTTAATCTAGGGCCTTGGGTTTAGGGTCCTCTACAGGATTTTATCAGGGATATGATGAGGTGTAGGATTTGTGGTTTAGGGTTCAGGCCTACTTACAGGGTTCCTTTATTACAGGGTGCTAAGGTTCTGGGTTGAGGCATTCAGGGCTCAGGGTTTAAGCCTGTTTAAGGGTGCACGGGATTGTGGAAGTCCGTTCTTATGACAGTAGGGCTCAATCTTGTTATCATGAGCAAAATACTACGAAGGTCCGTTCTTATCGCGATCAAGTCACTCGTACTCAGGGTTTATATTTGGGCCCATTCGTGTTGCGATACGGATCCTGCTGGTCAGGGTTTATGTTTGGTCCAATCTTATGATGACTAGGATCTTTCTCGCTAAGGTTTACATTAACGTCCACTCTTACTACGAAAACGATCCTACTATTCACGATGTACATTCTTGTCCAGTCTTATTATGATGAGGATGCTAGCGCTTGCGGCGTAGTATTGGCTCTTCCCTGATTTTCTGAGGCTGCCCTTTGGGTGCCGGACCTCGTGGTCCCGGTCTCGGTTCACGTGCTCCTGGGCGGTTGGGCTTGGGGCTTAGCGTTTCAGCGTTTCCGGTTCAGGGTTCACAAACCCAAAAGACTGAAGGCCTTGTAGCTTAAGATTTTAAGGTTTAGGGTTTAGGGCTCCAGGGTGAACCCTGACAAATCCCGAAGCCCTCTTCCCTAAACCCCGAACCACAGAACTGTTTACCGGCCTAAGGCCCATAAACCACAGACCAAACCTGAGCCTCGTCCACGAATCCACAATGACGCGAAAGTATTGAACCATCCGCAGCTCACAAACTAGGAAAACACCGGAAAGCAAGAAGCCGCTTGTAATAAGCCTTTGTAGAAGCATTGTAGCAATCCTTCTGGCAATGCTTATGGCCCTATGGCAACCCCTCTAGAACCCTTGTAGACAAACCGTATAGAATGCTTACAGCAGCCCTTACAGTAGCAGCAACCCGAAGAAAACTCCTATGAACCTCTAAAAACCGTTAAAACACACACAAACCCACAAAAGCCGTTCAGCCGAAACCCAAACAGCCTATAGTAAAGAAGGTACGCGCTGGCCCCTTTTTCGCAGCTTTGTCGCCGCCAGCCACAACTGCTGATGGCTGTGGGCGTTTGGGCTTTTTTTTGCGTTTGGGTTTAGGGTTTAGGTTTAGGGTTTAGGGGTTCAGGGTTTAGGGGTTCGTAGTTTAGGGTTAGGGTTTAGGGGTTTAGGGTTCTACCGGCCAAGCAACTGAAAGCGAGCATACAGGTGGGTGGTTGTCAAAATTAATGCTCCCTTTTTGGGTACCCTAAATATTAGGTGCCGTACTATAATAAGAACTCAAAAAGGGACCCTAATTTTGACAAAGTCAACCCAAAAAGCCTTCGAGCAACAACTACGAAGCCACTGTTGTATTTCCCAACACCACAACTGCAAGAAGAAGAACTGCTATGATCATTGCTAAATGCCTAAAAGGAACCTTTATAAGAACCCTGAGAGAAACCTTACTAAAGCCCCTAGACCCCTGCAGCACGCTTCCTTTACTAATTTAAGCCAGCCTAAATCCTAGACCCCTTATGGAACCTTCTTGAACCTTCTAACTTACAGTAACCCTTAACCCTAAACCCTCAAACCCAAACTCCTGCACCCCGAAGCCCAAAACCCAACCACCCATGCACATAGCACTACAGGTCATGGCAGGCCCTCCAAAGTGTCTAAACCTCCCCCACCCCCTTGAAAACCCAAAAAACTTAACCCTGAACCCCTAAACACTCTAAAAGACTAAACCCTAACCCCTAAACCCTCCAAAAAAAAAACTGGCTCCTGGAAGTTCACGGGCGCCCCTTCCACGATGCCGTTCCCTACGAGGCTCGGGCCGCCGTACTTGTGGGTCCCTGGGCGCCAAACAAGGCTTTAAGGGCTTAGGGTTCCTTTAAAAGGGTACTATAAGGGTTCCTTTAAGGGAACTACAAGGGTTTGGGGTTTCAGGGTTTAGGGCTTGGGGTAGGCTTTAGTGTTAAGGGTTGAGGGTTGAGGGTTTAGGGGTTTAAGGGTTTAGGGTTGAGGGTTTGGGGTTAAGGGTTTAGGGTTGAGGGTTGAGGAGTTTAGGGTTTAGGGTTGAGGGTTTAAGGGCTTCGGGTTTGAGGGTTTAAGGGTTTAGGGTTGAGGATTTGGGGTTTAAGGATTTAGGGTTGATTTGGGACTTCCGTATCAGGGGTCACATTCCGTGTGTCTTTGCAAAGCAAATTGCCCTCATTGTTTCTCTAAACCCTTATGAATCTTTGTGTAAGGCCCGCAGAAAACCAGTACAAAGGTCTGTTATCAATCCTACACAACCGCTAAACCCTAATCCCTAAACACCAAAACCCTTAACCCCAGACCATAAACATTCTTTAAAAAAGCCTGAACCCTAAACCCTAAACCCCGAAAAAACCCTAAACCCTATACCTCCCTTTGAAGAAACACTATAGATCCCTTTAAAGAAACCCTTGTAGATCCCTTTAAAGCAAAGCTGATAACTCCCTTTGCAAGAAGCCCTTATAGATCCCTTTAACGAAACCCTTATAGATCCATTTACAGAAACCCTTATAGATCCCTTTAAAGCAACGCTGATAAATCCCTTTGCAAGAAGGCCTTATAGATCCCTTTAAAGAAACCCTTATAGATCCCCTTAAAGCAACCCTTATAATCCCTTTAAAGCAACCTTCATAGATCCCTTTAAAGAAACCGTTGTAGATCCCTTTACAGAAACCCTTACAGATCCCTTTCAAGCAACGCTGATAAATCCCATTGCAAGAAGCCCAAGAAGCCCTTGTAGATCCCTTGAAAGCAAAGCTGATAAATCCCTTTGCAAGAAGCCCTTATAGATCCCTTTAAAGAAACCCTTATAGATCCCTTTAAAGAAACCCGTATAGATCCATTTAAAGAAACCCTTATAGATCCCTTTAAAGCAACGCTGATAGATCCCTTTACAGAAACCCTTATAGATCCCTTTAAAGCAACCCTTGTAGATACCTTTAGAGCAACCCTTATAAATCCCTTTGCAAGAAACCCTTACAGATCCCTTTAAAGCACCCCGTATAGATCCCTTTAAAGCAACCTTTGTAGATCCCTGCAACAAAGCCTTATAGATCACCTTAGACAAACCCTTATAGATCCCTTTAAAGCAACCCTTATAGATCCATTTAAAGATACCCTTATAGATACCCAGGAACCTAAGAATAAAAAGGCCTCTCTTTTTGGTATTGGGTAACTTTATAAGGAACCTAGGACTACAAAAAGGGAATAAGGGTACTACTGGGCATCCTAGTTATAGATACCCTCTGCCTGTGTACAGCGTCATGTCGTAGTAGAAGCGCTGCGGCCCCGCAGGATCATCGATGCCCGGCTCCGGGGCCTGCCGCTCACTTATCGCTCTCTTGGGGCTTAAGGGTTTAGGGTTTAGGGTTTAAGGTTCAAGTCCAGGGTTTTGAGCTGGTTTCGAGCGAGTTTGAGTGCTGTTGGTGCACTTTGGGCGGGTCTTGGCGGCGTCTTGGGTTCGAAGTGCGGTCCCAGCCCGAAGCTGCACGATTTGCTGCTGTTGTTGGGCTTGAAGTGAGGAGATGTACGATTTTTTTGCCGGCGTCTTGCGCTCGACGTGGGGTCCCAGTTCTAAGATGTACGAGTTGATGCCGGTGTCTTGGGGTGGAAGCGCGGTCCCAACTCG